GATATGTTTTGAGCTTCTGTCATTTTCTGCTCTAAAAGTCAGAAGGCATGCTTTGGTGTGATACTGTTCGTTGTATAATTGACGCTTTTGCTCGAGTAAGTTTATCAGGGAATTTCGTGAATAGTTATCTGCTATTAGGACATTTTTTCGTTTCTCTGTAAAGAGCATTTTGTTTCTCTGCTATTAGGACATTTTTTCGTTTCTCTGTAAAGAGCATTTTGTTGGTTGTTGAGTGTTTCATATTTTTGTTTCTTATGGAAAATTTACGATCCCAAAGATCTATATGAGATGATTAACGCATCAATGCATAAGGTTAATTTGCTGTAAAAATGAAAAGTTTCTGACAATGTGTTTATTTTAGTGATTATGTGTTTATGGAGAAAGATTAGTGTGCATTGTTCATGTGTTGTCTAGTCTTGTAAAATGGAAAGTTCACCGTGTGGATTAATTCAAGTTGCGTCATTTGGGTTATTAGACATAAGACTAAAATTAGCTTTGCTTTTAAGGATATTTGTTTGGTTTTGACAGTATATGAGCTAAGAGTCGGTTTGGATTGCTAAATTCTAGCAGAACGTTAATAATTCGTTAAGTTCTCTTTTGGGTGCATAAATGAATCTCCTTAGTTTACTTAGTTGAATGCTTTTCCTTTTCCTTCAAAAATTAAAAACCTCAAATGCGTGGCCCTCGTTTAATTGTTTCTTCTAAAAATACTTAGAATTCGAGGCGTGCCATTTAGCAAATCCCATGGCCCTCGCAAAGTTAACAGCGTGTTAGTTGCTTTTAGGCGCGTCATTTAATAATTTTACCTTCTTAAACTCGGGTGCGCATTTATGTGACCCAAATCCAAATCTCAACGATGTTAAAGTATGTCAAAAACAACGGGTGCATTTATGTGACGTGGTTCGAGATGTATTTTAATGACGTTGCAATTCTCTTTAAAAATAATAATAAAAGCGGTTAAAAAGTTAAAATTTGCACATAGGTTAATAATTGTTAAAATCAGATAATTTAAGCCAAATATGACAGTTGAGCGACCGTGCTAGAACCACGGAATCCGGGAATGCCTAACACCTTCTCCCGAGTTAACAGAATTCCTTACTCGGATTTCTGGTTCGCGAACTGTTAAACAGGGTCAATAATTTCCTCGATTCGGGATTCAACCGGTGACTTGGGACACCATAAATCTCCCAAGTGGCGACTCTGAATCTTTTAAACAAATCCCGTTTCGATTGTCACTTCAAGTTGGAAATAACTCCCTTTATTATACTCTTTCGGGGGTGTAGTGAAAAAGGAGGTGTGACAACGCGTACGTGTCCACAATTAATCACGCTTTATTAATATTAAGAAAGTTTGGCCGAAGTTGCGTGAACGCATACCTCGATTTGTTTTTAAAATCATAATTATGTCACGCGAACATGTACACAATCATGATGATAGATTAAGTCGCGCCTAAAGCAAGCTACAAATATTCAATTCTTTTCCTAAAGCTAATTTGAGATTATTGTAAGGCTTGAATATATAAAAGAAAAGTACTATGGACTTAAGTTTGTGATTTTATTATCCAACTTATAACAAAATGACCAAATGCAATTCATACTTTTATCTTCCGTAAATGAGCATTTCAATTGCAAACAGCCCGAATCAGAATCATAGGAGTCTACCAAGTGTTCGATGAACAAGAGAGGCCAAACATGATAATATATAGTTACTAACATGATGAACCAGCGCATAAAAAAACAATAGGAGCAAAAATCACACGGATAAACAACTAATTCTAATTAAAAGAAAACTCATATCCAGGTCATCTAAATAATACTTAATGATCACAATTAGATATGAATGAGAGGTGAAATAGAAATGGACCTTGGTAAGATCTTTCTGATTAGGAATCCAACAGCAAATACACACTAAGAAACGTCGACAACAAACGACACCTCGATCTGAACTAACAGACGGAACTTTCGGACAGGACTTCAAGCAGCAACCTTAGACACTGACATCTCCGGCAGGGTCTCGAAATCAAAACAAAAGGCAAAAAGTGCCAAACGATGAAAGAACAGAAAATAGTTATTTGGAGGATTTTTTGACTGTGTAAGGGCGCCAGAAAAGGTGATTTCGGTGACGAGAGACAAAAATGATTTCGTCTGCGTTAATGGAGGTCGCCGGTCAGATCCAGACCCAGACGGATTTTGACTTATTCTTACGCACAAACACAACCAGCAATGCTACTCTGCGGACTCGCAACAACAAAAGCATCACTTGAGTGTTATGGTTAGATCGACTGCTGGTGGTCTGGTTGAGGTGAAAGACCAGCAGAGGCTGCCTTCTAGTTTTGGAGAGGAGGTCAGCTCCTTTTGTTTGGTCTTGATGGAGAAGAGGGGTGTCGCTGGTTGTTTTTTTTTTTGGTGAAGAAGAAGAAGCTTAGCTTGAAGGGTGTGGAGGAAAATGGAGATCAGGGGTCTTCTTTGGTTGTCGAAAATGTGAAGAAGACTTCTAAAAAACGGCTGTTGTCTTAGGTCTTGTCTTTGTCTAGGGTTAAGAAGAAAGGTTTTTAACTTTAGGATATTAGGTTATTTTTGGGTTTAATGGGTATTGAGCTTGGATGACTTTTTGGGTTTTGGGTTGGGTCTATGTATTATTGGATTAAAATTGAGCTAAAAATTAAAATTCATAAACTATAGACTCAAATCCAATTCTTCTTGTACAATAGTATAAAGCACCTATAAAAATGTAAAATCACTCCTAATTAATTAAAATAAACTATTAAAGATAAACCTAAAATAAAACTGTTTTTTGGTATTTTTCAAGATTATGTAAAAATAAAAACTCTAGTTAAATAGTATGACTACCGAACATTAATGAAGCTATCTTTTTTGTAATTTTCATTTTTTGTGATAAAATAAAGTAAAAGATTCAAAACTAGTTAAAATAACTATATTAGACCTAAACTAACTATTTATGCTAAAAATGTGTAAAATCTTGGGGAGGGCCAAAAATTACATGTCTACAAGGAGGATTGAGTGACTGAGGACCGAGTGACTACGAGGATTGAGTTATTGGGAGGACTGAGTGCATTGATACACCGAGAGTATGTATATGGTTTTATAACTGCATTGTATTACAATTGGCATGCATACATTGACATGTAGGCACAGAGATGTACTTTCCGCATGCCACTTGATAATGGAACATCTTGCCTGTTGCTGGAAGTTTTTTGAAAAAAATCGCAGTTTTCGAACTTACTCATATTTGTGGTGTTTTCGGTGAATGATTTGGGATTTACTATTATACTTGAAAAGTATGCCTATTTTGCATAACTGTGAACGAGCTGAGCATCATATCTCCGAGTTACTTCGTGTACCATTTTCATTATATTATTATGAACTGTTGTTAGTTATTGGAGTTGGACTCTAACCCTTGTCCCAGCTCGACACTACTTTCAACCTAAGGTTAGGTTTGTTACTTATTGAGTACATTGGGTCGGTTGTACTCATACTACACTTTTGCACCTTACGTGCAGATGTTGGATGATGATGTTGCTGTGTATGGCGAGAGCTAGATTTGAAGATGTACCTGCGGTCCGGTCATAGCTACCTCTTGTCCTTGGTAGCTTTAGAATTTTTAATGTATTCATGAATATTTCAAACTGATGATGTATTTATTTCCTACTAGCTTTGTAAACTCTAAATCTTAGAAGCTCATGATTTGTACTACCAGTCCCTGGGAAGTCTATAAAGGTTCAGTTATTTATTCATTCATTTGTCATAATAAATCTCATTAAATTGGATAGTTGTTAACTGGCTTACCTAGCGGATTGGGTTAGGTGCCATCATGACTAGATGAATTTTAATCGTGACAATGCCCGTTCTGCATCGCCCGGAGTCTCTCCTTATTGTATATATTTTCTGTCTATCTTATCCCAGACAGTAGTATTGGCGGTTTGTATATTCTACTAGTTTGCTCATGCACTTGTGACACCGGTTTTGAGAGTATTCTAGTAGACTTTTATAGTTTTGGGTATCAATTCAATACTTAACTCTTTTTTTATTTGATTCTTGGTTTTTACTATAATTTCCTACTAGTAACTATCTCATTAAATAAAATTAATTACTTTAAAAATATTAAAATGAATAATTAAATGGGTAGTTTACTGTTGGCTTGCCTAGCAGCGACGTTGGGGGTCATCACGGTCTATAGTGAAATCGGGTCATGCCATTTGGACAGATTAAGGAGCAGAACAAGAAAAAATTCAAGGGCAACTGCTATAATTGTGGAAAAATCTGGTCACGAAGCCCCTGGTTGTCGTCTCCCGAAAAAGGACAAGAAAAAGGGACAGGACAACATAGTGGAGAAGAATGATGACATTGATGATCTGTGTGCAATGCTTTTGCAATGTAACTTAGTTGGAAATCCGAAGGAGTGGTGGATTGACTCTGGAGCCACTCGATATGTTTATGCCATCAAAGAAGCATTTGCTACTTACTCTACTGCTGGTCCCAAAGAAGAGCTTTCTATAGAAAATACTGCAACAACCAATATTGAGGGTTATAGGAAGATATTCCTGAAGATGACTTCAGGCAAGGTGTTAACGCTCAACAACGTTCTTTATTTTCCTACTACAATAACAACAACAACATACCCAATATAATTCCACAAGTGGGGTCTAGGGAGGGTAGTGTGTACACAGTTTACCCCTACCTGGCGAGGTAGAAAGACTGTTTCCAATAGACCATCGGCTCAAGAAAAGGTGAAAAGAGAGAAAGGAAGAAGACGAAGGAGAAAGAGGAAGAAGAAAGAAAATATAGAGGGACGAAGGACGATAAGGAAAAGGGGAGAAAGGCAACTATTATAACAACAATAACAGCCACAACAACAACGAAACCAGTAACAGAGAATAGCATCAAACAATAGCAAACTGGAACATACGATATACAAAGCGAACGAAAAAAAACTGAGCTACCAATACTACTAAAAAAGAACGGGGAACTCTCGACTACCTACTAGCCAATTACCCTAATCTTCGACCTCCACACCCTTCTATCCTGGATCATGTCCTTAGTGAGCTGAAGTAGTGCCATATCTTGCCTAATCACCTCTCCCCAATACTTCTTCGACCTTCCTCTACCCCTTCTCAGACCCGCCACGGCTAGCCTCTCACACCTCCTAACATGGGCATCCGTACTCCTCCTCTGCACGTGCCCGAACCATCTCAACCTCAACTCCCTCATCTTGTCCTCCACGGGAGCCACTCCCACTTTGTCCTGAATAACTTCGTTGCTAATCTTATCTCTCCTTGTATGCCCACACATCCATCTCAGTATCTTCATTTCTACTACTTTCATCCTCTGAACATGGGAATTCTTGACTGGCCAACACTCAGCCCCATACAACATAGTAGGTCTAACCACCACTCTGTAAAACTTACCCTTGAGTCTTGGTGGCACATTCTTATCGCACAAAACACCAGATGCGAGCCTCCATTTCATCCACCCTGCACCGATACAGTAGGAGACCTCATCATCAATCTCCTCGTTACCCTGGATTATAGACCTGAGATACTTGAAACTACCCCTCATCGGAATGACTTGGGTATCAAGCTTCACATCCACATCCGCTTCATGAGTCTCGTCACTGAACTTACACTCCAAGTATTCCGTTTTGGTCCTGCTTAACTTGAAACCCTTAGACTCTAGGGTCTTCCTCCAGACCTCTAGCCTCGCATTGACCTCGCTCCTCGTCTCTTTATGTTCCTACTATTAGGAAAAATTTAGTTTCAACTTCCCTACTTGTTAAGATGGATTCAAATGTGTATTTGTATCTGACAAAATTGTGTTGGAAAAGGCTACCTCACAGAGGGCCTTTTCAAACTCAATGTAATGGTTGTTGATAGTATTAATAAATTTTCAGCTTCTTCTTATTTATTGGAGTCAAATGATTATGGCATGTTCGTTTAGGACATGTCAATTACAAAACCTTGCGGAAGTTAATTAATTTAGAAGTATTGCCTAAATTCGAGTGTAATAAATCAAAATGTCAAATATGTGTTGAATCTAAGTTTGTCAAACATCCTTATAAGTCTATTGAAAGGAATTCAAATCCTTCAGACTTAATTCATACTGACATTTGTGATATGAACTCAGCACCATCTCGTGGTGGGAAAAAGTATTTTATAACTTTTATTGACGATTATATTCGATATTGTTATGTTTTTTTGATTAATAGTAAGGATGAAGAAATTGAAGCATTTAAGCAATACAAGAATGAAGTGGAGAATCAATTTAATAAAAAGATTAAAATGATTAGAAGTGATAGGGGTGAAGAATACGAATCTCCTTTTGCAGAGATATGTTCGGAATATGGAATTATCCATCAAACTACTACCCCCTACACACCTCAATCCAATGAAATTGCGGAAAGAAAAAATCGGACATTAAAGAATGATGAATGCTTTATTAATAAGTTCCGGCTTACCGCAGAGTTTGTGGGGCGAAGCTATCCTTACAGCTAACCGAATACTCAACAGAGTACTCCACAGCAACACGCAATCTATTCCATATGTAAATGGAAAGGAAGAAACCCCAACTTGAAATATTTTAAAGTGTGAGGATGTTTAGCAAATGTACAATTACCTTTACCCAAAAGTGTAAAAATCGGACTAAAAATTGTAGATTATATTTTTATTGGATATGCTACAAACAGTAAAGCATGTCGGTTTTTGGTTCATAAATCTGATAATCCCGAAATTCATGTTAATATGGTTATTGAATTAGATAATGCTAAATGCTTTGAAAATATTTATCCATATAAAACTGAATGCGAGTCGTCAAGTGAAAGATCTAAACGACCACGAGAAGAGCCAAAGGAAAATAATCCAAGTGAAGAGGATCCAAGGCGTAGCAAACGTCAAAGAACATCTACTTCCTTTGGACTAGATTTTGTGACATTCTTGCTTGAAAATGAGCCTCAAACTTTCAAAGCAGCTATGTCATCTTCTTATTTAGCATTTTGGAAAAAGGCAGTCAATAGTGAGATTCAATCAATTTTGGATAACCATACATGGGAATTAGTTGATCTTCCTCCAGGAAATAAGCCTTTAGGTTCGAAATGGATCTTTAAGAGGAAAATGAAAGCTGATGGCACTATTGACAATATAAGGCAAGACTTATTTTCAAATGTTATAGACAAAAGGAAGGCCTTGATTACTTTGACACTTACTCGAGGATAACATCTATTAGGGTGTTAGTGACACTGGCGGCAGTATATAATCTTCAAATCCATCAAATGGATGTTAAAACAACTTTCTTAAATAGAGAGTTGGAGGAAAAAAATTACTTGGAACAACCAGAGGGTTTTGTGGTTCCTGGTAAAGAAAAGAAAGTGTGCAAACTTGTTAAGTCGCTTTATGGATTTAAACAACCACCCCAACAACGACATGCTAAATTTTACCAAACAATGTTGGCAAATGGTTTTAAAATCATCGAGTGTGACAAATGTGTTTACATTAAAAATACCGTAGGTCATGAAGTCATTGTTTGTTTATATGCTGATGACATGTTGATAATGAGCAAAGATATGGCAGATATAAATGCTACTAAGCGCATACTGGCTAGAAAATTCAACATAAAAGACTTAAGAGTTGTTGATGTGATCTTAGGAATCAGAATTCACAAGACTCCATAAGGTCTAGCATTATTACAGTCTCACTACATTGAAAAAGTACTTGACAAGTTCAAGTATTTGGATTTCAAGATTGTCAAGACTCCAATTGACGTGAGTTATGCACTTCAAAATAATGAAGGTGAAAGTGACTCACAACTGGACTATGCAAGAGTATTGGGAAGTTTGATGTATATCATGAATTGTACGCAACCAGATATAGCATGTGCTATTTGCAAACTGAATCGATTTACAAGTTATCCCAATCAAATATACTGGATGGCAATGAAACGAGTTTTGGGATATCTGAAACATACGCAAGACTATTCTCTGCATTATAACAAATATCCCTCCGTGATTGAGGGATATAGTGATGCAAATTGGATCACCGGATCATTTGAAGTTAAACCAGTGAGTGGATATGTTTTCACAATTGGGATGGAGCAGTGTCTTGAAAATCATCCAAGAAGACGTGCATCGCCCATTCTGCGATGGAATCTGAATTCATAGCTTTAGACAAGGCCGGTGAAGAAGCTGAATGGCTCCGGAATTTCTTGGAGAATATTTCATTTTAGACCAAACCTTTGGCACCTATATGTATACATTGTGATAGCCAAACAACAATAGGTAGGGCAGGGAGCGTTATGTATAACGGAAAATCTCGTCAGAGATGATGGAGACACAATACCGTTAGACAACTACTCTCTAGTGGTGTTATCACGATTGACTACGTGAAGTCAAGAGATAACGTATCAGATCCACTTATAAAGGGCCTATCTATAGAAGCAGTTGAAAGATCATCAAAGGGAATATGGTTAAGACCTAGGAGAAGTCGTAATGACAGTAACTCTACCTAGCAGACTAGAGATACTAAGAGCTAGGTTCAAAGAGATCAAACAAAGTTATGAGTGACTGTTCAACATTGTCAAATAACTCAACCCATTCTTGTGATGAAGACAATGTTCAGAAATCAGGGTAAAGAATTAAGGCTTTTTAATGAGTCAATAAAGCTTAAAGCTTCTAAATGATTTGCTAAGTCTGGCAGGAAATGACCAGATAGTGGTGTCTGTAGGACTACACATTTAGAAATCACCTATGTGAGTGTGAAGTGTAAGCCGCTTCAAGAGGAATGAAAGTAAAGACCTATTTTCTAAGCACTCATGAGACCAGGTGGTGTTCATGGTTGAAACGAACATAACCATGAGAACCATAGATGGTTACAATTTGATTGTGTGACTTATGTTATCTAGGTATACAACAAAGCTCGACGGTTCAAAGATATCAAATCTACTGATTGACGGAGTATATCGATATAAGTTCACTATGGAAAGTACAAAGGAAAACCTACTTATCCAGATGCAATTAATTCTTGCTTATAAATCACACATTCATTCGTGCATTTCTTTATCTTATAGCCATTCCCCATTCATGTGAGGGATTGTTGGGATTGGAAGTTGGTGAATGAAAAATGGAGGGAAGAAATGTGAAGGAAAAGTGAGTTGTTCCCTCATGCTTAAGAGCAATTGTCCCTCTTTGGTAGTGGAAAGAAAAAGGAATGTGCTTATATTAAAAAAGTACTTCTCTTGGTGTTAAATGAGTTGGAAATAAGGTAAGCCTCACGATGTCGTCGTCGTAGCTCGCTCGGCTCGGCTTCGGTCAAAGATCGATCGATTGATTAATTTTTTGGATAAATTTTCTTCCAATTTTAATTAATTAATTAGAATAATTATCAAAAAGTCAACCCGGAATAACCCAGGACCCGCGCGCGCAATGCGACTCGGTCTGTTTCTTTTTTTAAATTCTTTTTCCAGATTATTTCAAACATTCCCGCACGTTCAACAGCCATTGCTGTTTCTAAAAGGTTGCAAATTTTCAGAAACAATGCCAGAAAATGGCTATATATTTGCTTTGATCCTAGAATTTTTTCTAACGAAATTTTCTCAACTTCTTCTTCTTCTTCTGCACAAATAAACTCAGTGTGATTTACAGCCACTGAGTGGTTCTCAGTTCACCATCATTTTAGGTACTGATACTCTGGTGAGTCACACCTCGACTACTTGAGGAAAATAATTCTCTTAAGAGCACAACGTGCATTCAGTAGGCTCAATTTCATTCCGAAATTTATTTTTTAGATTCTGTTTACTTATTATTTCCAGTTTCTGCTTTACTTCTGGTTTTCATAATATTATAGTTAATACAAATTGATAACATAATAAATCATAACCATGAGTATAGTAATAGTGATTACTTCAGGAACGCCCTAATTTTAAAATCGGGTCCATTACTTAGATGATCATTGAATTATCGAAAATTATAGATTAAAGTTACTTTTCTTTCATTCGTAATAAGAAAGTCACTCAACTATCCCTATTGAACTCTGATGATCATTGAGTCGGATTTCTTAATATTTTTTGTAGAAAAAGTTGACTTAACAGTCCACATGAACTTTTTATATTTTTAATATAATTATCACCTAAACAAAAATAAATTCAACCTGGTCCATTAAAGGTAAACCCACCCGAAATAAACTTTACTCCTAAACGCATCTCTTTTTCAAAAACTCTTGGACCCGTTATTATTTTATATACTTCTTTTTTACTTCGCTTGAATCATTAGACTTTGTAACACATCATACTAATAAAACTAGTTATTTTTTTTTTTACTTTTTCATTTGTTTAAAGCAGAATAGCTTAAATGACACTTATGCTTGTCCCACTTTGTCATGCCGGTCCTCCTACTTCACTTGTTTTCATCCAGACACTTTAACTTGATCAAAGCCTATTATTTAAACCCCTATGACCTATGACCAAACACATGTGGCAACATAATGGTCACGCGAATAATGAGCGTGAATACAAACATTTTTAATCAGAAATAATTAAAATAAGAAGAAAAAATTAATTATATAGGAATGAAAATA